GATGGCGCGCTCTTTCCATCCTCTGTAGTGGCATAAAGCTGACAACCATGACTATATCTATCTTTTTAACTCAACTTGTTATAGAGCAACGCGTCATTTGGCTGATCAAAGCCTGACGGACCAGGACCGGAAAATGTTGTTGCTCGAAGCGAACACTTGGGAATTGTTGCAACGCGTTTACGAGTGTGTTCTCATCTCATAGACTTGCTTGTATGGCACTTGTGTTGACTGCCCTTGTCCTATAGACATCGAAGAAAGCCGCACGGGAATAGTCGAACTGCTCAAGAAATGCTCAAAGGGAACCCTTACACGCCGACTGCTGCTCTTTATAGTGCATGGCTCGATCATTCTTCTCGACTAGGCGAGCTTTGTGAAGTGCAAAAATGGCTCGAAGTGACATACAAGCCTCAAGAGCCACCGCTGCTCTCCAAGGAGTACTGGAAGTTTACACGTATGGACTTGAAGCAAAAGAAGAGACAAGGGATGAATAATAGAACCGGTTATGTTCGAACGATGGATCCAGACGCGCTCAATCGTACTGGGGATAGTGGTGTGCTCAACGCAGACGATGCAGAGGAAGAGAGGGCGCTCCTCAACTCTGTCTTTCAGCATATCAGAGCTGGAAGACTTGAAGCTGCTGCCAAGATTTGTGAAGATGCAGCACGGCCATGGAGAGCGGCTGTCATTCGTGGCGGTTATTTCCTACAATGGGAAGGCTTGGAAGATTTGTTCACTCATGCAGAAGATGTTGGTAAGCAAGATCTCTGGAGTGGAAATCGAAAGTGGCTTTTGTGGCGACAGACTTGTATCAGGGCTGCCATGAGCGTACGTTGAGTCTCTTTCATGTCGATGCATGAGAGTACTAAAGCTTGTTACGGCTCATAGAATGCATTAAGTGTCACTGATAAAGCCATACATGCCGCAATCTCGCCTTCCCTCGTCACTCTCCCTGCGCTGGTACCCATGTGCCACAATAATTGGGAAGATCAATTATGGGCACGTTTGTCGGCGTTAATTGGAGACCGTATTGAGACAAAGATGAACGAGACAGCAGGTGGATTCTGGAACAGGGGCACCCTCTTGGATCGTTTGGCTTTGTTGGAGCAAACAGAGACGGATTCCAAGCCTACAAATGAACAAGATAGCGAATGGGAAACTATTATTGCCCATCAATTAGATGAATTGGCCGATGTTGCGGTCAATACCAAGTAAGCACTTTCTCTCAGACTAGAATTGTCTCGCTAACTTTACTTTCTAGTTTACCCGAAGAGGACTACCTTCGCCGATCACAACTCGGCGTTATCCGTCAGAGGATGAAGCCTCTAATCTCTGAGGTGGAAGATTCATTCAAGCATCC